GTCAGCGCCGGGCGGCGGTCGGAGCCGGCTCTCCCCAGGCACCGGAGCTGCGGACGTGCCAGAATACGGCCTGGCTGCCTACGCCCAGGGCTGGTGAGGGAAGGAGGGAGGTGTGGGTGAGACAGGGGGGCTTGTTTCATCCTGCGAGGAAGGAGAGACGGCTCAGGGAGCAGCTGCTTTATTCCTGCACTCCTGGGTGGGGGTTAAGGGGAGAGGGAGACTCATGGATACCCTGGTGTAGCAGGGTCAGAGGGATTGCAAGGTGCCTGTGTGTTATGACAAGGCGTGTGGCTTGCTTGTCTGAATAAAATGAAGGTATCATTATGCTTTCTTTATAAACATTTCTTGGGCAAGAAATTGAGCGTTTTCTCTTTGCAAACCTTGTAGTAGACACTTCAGAGATGTCCAGCAAGTTGAAGAGCCGTCCAGCTGAAAATGCAGAGCATACCAGGAGTAAAATGGAAAACGGAATGGACAGCATGGCTGCCCCTGCCCTTAGTACCTACATGCCAGAAGAGATGGTGCAACAGATGAAAGAACTAATCACTGAGAACAATGAGTTAAAAGGTGAATCTGCATGTAAACCCGTCCTGAAATGCAAAAGCCTGGAATCTCTTCTGCAGGGATTTTGTCCTAAGAATATGAATTCTGTGCTCGTTTGCTCTTGCTAGATAACATTTTATACCTGGGTAGCATTCACTGTAGAAGAGACTGTGCAAGTGGCGAGGCCAGTTTGATAGGACACATCAAATTGAATCAATATGGAAGATTAGGGGGAGAACCACCCAATTTATGGGTGACTTAATTGCTTCAAAATTACACATATAAGCAGTATAGCACTGTGTATTTTAAGAGGTAAGGTGAAAAATCTGGTGCTATGATAGGCTTTTTGCCAAACAGTTTGTGTTAGGATGTTCTCAGAAAGGCGCTGCATCATCTTGGGCAGAGAGCAGAATTGGAGCAGGCTGCCCTGCACCTAGTGTAGTAATTACTATGAACGTTAGATGTGGCAGCACCTTCTGTATTTGAGAATAAACTGGTGGCCATGGCAGGGTCCATTTGAGAGAAACCAATAGGTTTCCCTGAAAATACCTATTGAGCTGAGCCTTTCAGGTGTGAGAGCTTTGTTTCTGGATCCCAGGAGTTTAGGTGTCAGATATGTTGGGGTTTTTTTAAAAGGTTTTTAAAAAGGTTTTTTTTATCTTTGTGCAAAACCAAAGGGATTTGGGAATTTTATGTGAAAGACAAAGGTATCTCACTGTTTATATGGCAGCAGAGCATGAAGTTGCGTATCTTGTGTGCTGTGATTTTACGCTAGTGTTGAAATTCCGCCTGAATAATTTTTGGACCTGGTCCAAGTTCTTTGCCTTGGAGTCTCATGGGTATCTGGCAAGAAAGTTGGTTCTAGAAGTAACTGGTATCTTGCTAAAAGGTCCTATATCATACAATGTTTTTGGAACCATATCTACAGCTGCTGTAACTCATACCTCGCAAGAATCATTCTCCAGAGCTACATTTATTTACAGAACCTGAAGGATTTGTTGGCAATTTATAATATGACTTCAGGACATAATGGAAGTTACTGGAAAATGCAATATATAAAAGATTTTCAAGCAACTGACTTTGAGTTTGTTGCTTTAAAAAAGCAAGTCTGAAATACTTTCATTGACTCTTCCTAAAAATCGTGTAAGCATTTTGCAACTGCAAGGCTGATGTTGTTACATACTGACTTTGTTACATACTCAAGGCTTCCCAGGCAGGGGAAACTGACTTTAAGTTGTCAGGTGTATTCCTTCAGTGTTTTCAGTCAAATCGTAACCAAGTGTTCAAGCAGAGCATTGTTGAGCATATTTGAGACTTTTGATTTGATAGCATCAGTTCTCATGCAGCTATTTCCCAGTCTAGGATGTCTGTTTTCCCTACCAAGTCTCAGTAGTTTCAGAATCTCAGTTCAGTACTTTCACTTAGGTTGATCATGTCGGTAATACATGCAGTGAGATACCAAGTACCTCTTGTGAACAATACTTCTTGCTTGTACTTCTTGGTTTAGGAATAAGTCACGAAGTGAGAGAGTGTGGGCATGTGATTTCAGCAGTGAATTTAATGCTATTTATTACAGTGCTAACGAACTATAATAAGTTCAGTTTTGCATTGGTATTTAAGGTTTGCGGGAAGGAGGTTCACATTTCATACCCAGTTATTGCTAACGCACTTGATACTGAAGAATGCTGAGTTCAATGTAGGGGAAATCTGCTGTTTCATTGACAGAGTGTGAATGTCAGTCAATGTCTTGTCTCTGGCTATCGTTTAGAAGCCATGAAGTTGCATAACCAAGCTATGAAGGATCGATATGAGGAACTTTCCAACTGGCGCGAGAAGCAGAAAGAAGAACGAGAATTTTACGAGTTGAAGTTTAAGGAGGCTAAGCAGTGCTTGCTAGCCAAGTGCATTGAAAATGAACAGCTACAGCAACAACTTCAGAGCTTAAAGAGAAGAGAAGAAGGAGCTGAAATGGTAAATAAGGAATTGGTTGGCCTGACGTGCTTTTGAATGGAAAGTCTGGAGCATTCATGTCCCTTCAGCACACAGAGAGGTTTGAAGTTTTGTTAGCACACCTTCCAGTAGCTGAAGGGGGCCCACAGGAAAGACAGGGGGGACTTTTTATTGGGGACTGTACTGTTAAGACAAGGGGCAATGATTTTAAACTGAAAGAGGGTAAATTTAGATTGGATACCGAGAAGAAATGCTTCCTAGAGAGGGTGGTGAGGCACTGGGACAGGTTGCCCAGAGAAGCTGTGGATGCCCCATCCCTGGAAGTGTTCACGGCCAGGCTGGACGAGGCTTGGAGCAACCTGGTCTAGTGGCAGGTGTCCCTGCCCATGGCAGGGGGGTTGGAACTGGATGGTCTTTAAGGTCCCTTCCAACCCAAATGATTCTGTGATTCTCTACTTTTATCTTTGTGCTCTAACAAGAAGTCTTGGCCTGACTGATTTTATAAAATGCTTCTTCTCAGAGTGTAGTAACAGAAAATTCTGCCGCACATGAGATAATTTACATTTTAATTAACAATAGTAATTCACATTCCCGACATAAGAAATTAATGTTTCTTACTAACTTTTCATTAATTTGTTTAGGGTTAGGTATCTCTTGACTTCATTCCTCCCTTTGCTCGTTAGATTATCAGTCTCTCGTGATTGTTCATTGGTTTTGTATTTGTGTTTCCAGGGAGAAGCTGACATGTAAGCAAAACAAACAAAAAAAAATTACCTGCCATCTATTTTTATGATACCGTTTTCCTCTCATAACAGCTCTTCTGCTGAGGTCAGGTTAGATCTGTGCTTCTGCTGCCTCATTTGAGTCTGACTGAGCTTTCTCCCTCCGTCTTAACCTTTGGCTCTGTTACGCTTCCTTTCTAACGTTGATTGCTTAGTGGTCAGGCAATATTTTGCAGGTAGCACTGAAGACATCTGAGGACAAAGCTTATTAAAACAAACAAAACCTGCTTTCTGTCCCATATGGTCATGCGAGAAGTTTCATGCAGAACCAAACTGATGCACCCTGGTATCTGGTACCTCTGGGACCCATGTGCATTCTCTGTTGCCTGATGAAGGAAGAGCATGTTAGGCTTTTTCTCAATGGAGTCACTAGCAGACTCTCCCTTCTCCTCCTGACTGCCTATTTTATGAAGCTCTTTAAGAAGTTTTTCAGCATGTAAATCAAAATTGGCCAATGAGTTCAGAGGTTACAAGGGGGAAGAATGTCATGCATAAATAGTGTGATTGTGTAAGTATTACTTACACAATCTTTACAGGCTGAAAGTTGTGTTTCAGGATTGTCAAGGAAATTCAGAATTTCATAACTCTGGAATAGTTACTATGGAGAAGTAGAGAATTTATTCTGCCTCTACCTGTTTTAGAACTTCTTGTACTTTGAATACCTAAAGTGTGTTACTGACAGAGTGATCCAACCTGCTTGAGTAATTCAACATCTGGATATGTAAAAATAAATCTAATTCAATTATCTCATTCCAAGAGCTTCGTAGAGTAAGCCCTGGTTCTTATGTGATTCTGTGCAGTTTTATCAGCCAGTGGTAACTGTAGTTTAGACAGCGACACTTTCATTTCTGATAGTGATTTTTCAGGCTGATTGTGATTTAAGCCAAAGTTACTTTCTCTTTTGAAAGCTTTACTTCTACTTTTTTCTTTTTTTTTTCATTTAGAAAGAGCATGAAAAATTTCATCTAACAGAAAGACTAAAATTAGTCTAAATTCTCTCACCTGTGTTCTACTCTTAATTAAGACTCGAGCCTTTTACTGCTGTTGACATCTCTGTTTCACTCACATCACAGATGTACTGTGTCGCCTCCCTTAGTGATAAACAGCATTCAGAGGAGGGTTTTTCTCAAAACTGTACCCCTGTTAGCACAAGTTGCTGTAAAGCTCTCTCCTCTTCACTGGAGCTGACTGTAATTGCATCCTTAGTGTCTAAGCACAAAATCAGAGACAGCAGCAAGTCAGGTGGGTAGGGCGGTACTGCGGGATGAGAGACACTGTCAGCATAGCAAGAGTTTGGAGATTTGGCATGAATGATAGATTAGAATGTACTTCAGACTCAGGAATTACCCAGAATTTACACTGACAGCATGTGGTGTAATAAAGGCATTACCAGGAGGTGGAAGGCTTGGATCACAATGTAAGGAAGAAACAAACTCACAGGGAAAGTTTCATAATGAAAAATGAGGCTTCCTGGTTATGTAGAGGCTTAAAAGAGGATTTTAAGAATCCTGGGGAAAGGGAAGAGGCAGAAGGTGAAGGAGACAGTCATGATTGGAAGGAGAAAGTAAGTTTGGGGAGAATCTCTGAGGGACAGAGGCTTTGTGGAAGGGAAGTGTTACAGGGAGAGATTTATATATGGAGATGGCGTACATAGAAGTTGTATGGTGGAGGAAGGCTGAAAGCAGGGTGTGTGGAAAAGCTCTCTGCCTGCTGGTCTTTTCTCCCTAGATTCTTAGGTTGATTTGGAAAAAGAGGAATAAGGATATGGGTGGGAAAAAAAAAAAATTCTGGACAACAGTTCTGTAGGTTGGCTGAGACCCTGCGTGGTAATGAGAGGCGTAGATTCAGGCAAAGATCTGCATCCTAATTATCTGTGCATTCAGAGAACCAGGCCCACGTTTTCCAGAAGGATGATGCTCATCGTTTGATTACCTTGGTTTCACGGTTTAGCCTTCTTGCTGTCTAGCAGACCAAAGCATATTTTTAGGGATCTGGACGCTGTTTTTTTCCAGGCAAACCTAAACAGAGAAGGGATGTGGGACACCGTTGTTAACGTTCAGGCTCTGTGCTCCTTGACTGGTGTTTTCTTTCGGTTGGCTAATGCAGGGTTTGTTTGTCCCAGGAGGGCTGCGTGTCTCTCGAGAAGGAAGCGCGGCAGCTGAAATCCCAGGTGCAGCGGCTCCAGGCTGAGAAGGCAGATCTGCTAGCCATCATCTCAGAACTGCAGGTCAAGCTGAACATCTCAGGGGAGGATTCCTTTGTGGAGATTGGGATGAACGTAAGTGAGGGGAATAAAAAGAACGCAGCGACCTGTGGCTGAAACTTTGGTTCCAGCTTAGTCCTCCTTTTGTGCAAACTGAACTTTCTTCTCATACCGAGCTAAGTGACGAGGAAGTCAGGTCGGAGCGTAATTACGGTGACGATGTTTGACAGCGACTTGATGACATTCTACAGTGAGGTATTTAGCAACCTGTCTTCCTTTAATAGAAAGGGTGAATCTATACCCATGTCAATGAAAAGCAACAGCAGCAACACAAGATACAGACACGGTGGATTTGGGAGAAGAGTTGCATGGTTGGACTCAGTGATCATAAAGATCTTTTCCAGCCTTAACGATTCTATGATTTATGGTCTCTGAGATTACCTGTCATGGAGCACTTGCATGTTACGAGATGTAGTGGTAAAGGACTTAGAATTTATTTTTGTCCTTCCACTTCAATGCTCAAAGTAAATTAATTTCTTAGGTAGCCTCCATCGCACTAAGAACATTCTCTAGAAAAAACAATGTGGTCCAACAAGTGACTTCTGACTAATTCAGAATGTTAAACATCTTATCTTAGTTGGAATTCCTGGGAACATCGGTAATGTATTTTGTTAAGGGGCAACACTTACGCACAGCACATTTTCTTTTGAGAATGAGACTCACTTTCTGCTGACAGATATGTAGAGATGCAGGCAAACAAAACTAAGTGAAAAGCTGTAGAGTGTTCCCTAGAAGCACAAAAATACACTTTTTCGACTGTTCTTTTATCTGCAAAATGTGAAATGTGAAAATGTGGATCTCTGCCACCCCCATCATAGCAGATATCTCTCTGGAAAGTGCAAGTGCAACAAGAAATTAAGAGAATTTGATTAAAATTGGTTTGGAGTTGTTCAAGAAAACTTCAGACTGCAGGAAACCTACAAAGATTCTCCTTTGGGCTACAGAGATTAAGGAGTGAGTTTTGTTGTGGGAAAGAAGAGAGATTCTTTTGGGAGGCAGGAAAGTGTTTTTTAAATACAAGCCTGAAGTCACCTGCAGTGATGTTGGCGGCTGCTGTGAGTGGCCATGGAAGTTGCTTAGGAAAGAAGGCCAAATCTTACTGTTGTTCCTCTTCTGTAATCAGTCCAGAAGAGATACCAGGAAAGGCATGTGAAGTATTTTAAGTTAAGAATTTCCAAACATGAAACTGATCTGTAGGAGTTTCGTGTTTTATTTATTTTTATAGCCATGGTAGTAGTTTTCCCTGCTTTTCTTTCTTCCTTAAGTAAATAAAACTGTCTTGCTTAATCGAAATACCAAGCTAATAGTGTTTTTTCTTTCCTAGGAAGGAGACATAAATAGAACTGCAAAGGAACTTCAAGAGAATAGTGGTGAAGTGACCAGCCATGGTGATATCTACATGTACGTGGGTTCTTGCGTGGTGTGTGTGATTCAGACTTCTGCAGTGTGTTCTGTTTTCAGTGCGAGGGAAGTTTTTTCTGTGACGAAAGTGCACTAAAAACCTTGGGTTTCTGTGGCTTTGCACCCCTTCATTGCAGTAGCTTGTACCTTCCTACCGTGTTGGAAAGACCCTCAGCTTTGTAATTTTTCCCTCCAATTTTTTGTAGCTGACAAGAGGGAGTGCATATTGTGGTCAGTTGTCCAAGCATTTATGTGCAAGCTGTTTTGCCAAATTTTCAGGCTCTTAAAGGAGGCTGAACAGAAAAGATAAAGATAGAGGCTGCAGGGACCCATCAGAGAATCACAGAATGGTTTGGGTCGGACGGGACCTTAAAGACCATCCAGTTCCAACCCCCCTGCCATAGGCAGGGACACCTTCCACTAGACCAGGTTGCTCAAAGCCTCATCCAGCCTGGCCTTGGAGACTTCCAGGGATGGAGTCCCTCCCTTCTAGTCCCTGGAGACCATCTAACAGAGTGTCAGAGTGTCTGTCCTCTACCCTATTATAATGATGTTGGTAAGAATCGGGGGTCTTGTAATCTTTCAGATCTGAACCCTCTCTGTTCTGTTTGTGCATGGCTGGTAGAAAGCGTATCACGGTGGGGTAGACAGGCAGTGTAATGACATAGTCCTTATTTTTCAGGTTACTAGGCTTCAGATACCAGCATTCTGTTTAGGTTACCTCTCAAAATTTGATCTTTGCATCAGCTCCAGGGCACAAGGGACTTTCTTGCCCCTAGCTGAACCTTTACTCCTCATGGACACAGACAGCTGATACTAGTAAACTTTCCATTTTGGATACTGCCCAATTTAGCAGCTAGAGTGTTGTGGCTGAACTCTTAGTTCTTTGTGGCCTTTGCTTTTGGAGTGAAAGGATATAGAAAATGCAAAGGGCATAGCACACCTGAAAGCTGTGCTCCATATACAGGTTTTCCCTTAAATCCCTACAGCTCCCTACATCACTGCAAGGGAAAACAGCCTTTTAATGTAATGAGTTAGAAAGCTTGTCCCTGAGGACACAGTTAAGAAGTTGAAGGGGGCAGGGGGGGAAATTATGGTTGTGGATGAAACAGAGAGTAGGTGACCACAGACCAGGCTGCAAGTATTCAGCTTGTTAGCAGTGGCTTGTGAGAACACTCTGATTATGAAAAGACATTCTTTGTGGGGCATATCTTTTGATGAGTATCCGGGATGTATCTACAAAAACAGGGGGTATATATACCTCTTAAAATATTTCCTGTGTCACCGTGTGTCTTTGTGCAGCATTGAAACTTTAGACTGGTGCTGTTAGCAGGTTCAGAGAAATGCGATCCGCTCAGGACAGGTTTATTTCTGTAAGAGTAGAGTGGTGCACTAAAAATCCCCTGATAAAAGTTACTTATTTAAAATACCCTGGCTGAGCACTGTCTTTGGGGTATTGAATTTTGCTCACCAAAGGTTTCTAGCTCTCAGGAGCATGTAGAGGACTACACTGTACTTTCTGTTCTGAACCACAACAGCAAAATCAAAAAACATGTGCCATTTTACAGCTGAGCTTCTGAAGCATACAGTGCATGTAGCCTGCCTGTCTTCCCATGCAGTTAGGGGGTTTTGACTTTCTCTCTAGATGGACGTAAAATTGTAAGGAGTGGAATACAGCATTTTATCACTAGGAAATTAACTACCTTATTTTTCAGAGGGTTTTGTATTTGTTTTGATTCATTTCTACAGTAGCGTAATGCAATTTTCAGCAGAGCTATAGAACATGGTAGAGGTGAAATACTGAAGAGGTTTTTTTTTTTAAAAAAGAAAGCAATTTCTGATGACTGGTTTTGGTGGAACTTGCCTTCTTTTCCTGGAAAGGAATGAGACAGATAAGGAAAAAAAAAAAAAGGAGTTATTTTGAGAAAAGACAGCAGCACTTTGCAGAAGGGGCTGCAAAGTAGGTCAGAATAAACACACTGGATTTTGTACTGTCTTTGTTTTCCTTGCATAACCACTAAATTGTTCCCCCAGCTCGAAGGGGACTGTCTGAGCACTGCACAAAGCCAGGACGGCATTTGCACAGACGGGGACTGTGGCTAGCAGTCTGTGGGCAGGTCTTGGTTCTCAGGAACGAGCCCTTTGCTCAGGACATTGGTTTTCAGCACTGTGTGAAACAGTGGCCTCTCATATTGGGTCCCTGAACTAGGGATAAGGGAGTGCTCTAGTACACCCATAGTTTTTGTTACTCACTTCTGGTTTGGTCTGAAGCAGGAGCAAACCTGCAGATGAATTGAAGAACTTGGAGTCTGAAGAGCTAACTGTGAGTCAGCTGCTCTGCTGCCTTAGAAATGAAACGCAGAGGAGGGAAAAACTTGAGAAGGAGCTGCAGGATCACAAAGAGAGGTACGGAGCAAGTGCGCTGTAACATTTGGAGCTGTTTTCCTTCAGGGCTGCTGCAGTTACCAAGTTTGTGTCTGAGCAGAGAGAAGCTGAAACACCAGCGTGACTTGATTTCCCAAGCACTCAGTAGTAATAACTTATTTTTGTGGTAGTCCTTATAGGGATAAACCACAGGTTATCTCCCATAGGCAGAAGGGTTTCCATGTTTTATTATTTCCTGTAGCACCACAGATCAAGGTAAATCATCCATTTCCTCTTAGGTTTGAACTTTCCCCAGGTTATGTCAGAATGATAGGATGACTAGTTGAGGGTGTTCACTCCACTCCCTCCTCCATAGTTACGTGGTTTTGTGTGAATCATATGCGTGTGGAGCCTTAAGCAAATCACTGTGTATAAATCAGGGAATACGGTCCCCTTCGTGATATTGGCAGGCTACATTTAGCAATGTGTGAGCTTCAAAAAGCTCCTTAGAAATGTCTAAAACAAGTTTAATTCCAAACTTGTGGAAGAGAGAGTTTTCCCAGTGAGGCCTGCACGAGGGCCCATCTCAGCTCAGTTACATTGGTATGAATCAGCAGAACTGTTCAGGTGTGGTGAATGGCCTGAGCAGTAGCTGTTGCAAATCCCCGCTTCGCAGAGACAGATTAAGACTTCCTGGTCACTACCTACTAGGAAAGGTTGGTGTCGTGGTAATTGCTTCTACATGGTCTTCCTAGAAAAGATAATGAGCCATAGCCAGATGATTCTTAGAAATCTCAGCCTCTGAAAATACAAAGGAAAATAGAGGCAATATTAATGCAGTGAACAGACTGACCCATTTCCGAAGGGTTAGCAGTTTTGGACTGTACCAAAGGTCGATCACTGTAGACTGAATGTCACTGTCATTCACCACACCTGCAGACTCATAGATCCATTTTAATTAAAGATCCATGCTGGGTGCCCCCGGGTCTTCGGGAACCCCTGGTTGTGCAGGCTTTCCTGCATGTCTGCTTTCAGTTTTGCCTCTCATTCGTGGCCGTGATGTTACAAAGAGAGTACGTCACTTGCATGAAATCCTTGAGTAGTCACAATCTCACTTTAAATGTAGGCCAGATCCATTATTGTTCTGTCCTTCTGTTTTCCAGACTGTCAAAGCTGGAGAAGGAAACGAGCAACTGCCTGGAGAGTGGGACACAAACTGAACAGCAAGAAGAGGGGAGTTCAGAGGCTGTAAGTACCTGTCCTTCTGAGCTGATACATAACAACATACAGCTTACACAGCAATGAGGCCAGTAACCTCAGGGCCTCTATTTCCACTTGCACTCAGGGAGCAAGGGGCAAATATCCTGTACAGGGCATGGAAATTATTTTTGACCTCTCCAATCCGTATCCTAGAGGTGGTTCCAGATTACACCAGCTACCAAAAAGGGGTGAGATTGGTGGCCAAGAACTAGGGAAGCATGGGAACTGCAGGTATACGTCGTTGTCCTGGCCATGCCCACTGAACAGAAAGAGGTGCAGTCATTTCTAGCTCCCAGAAGTTGTCTGGACTGGGTGAATTTCCTCACTGCTGGCTAGGTCAGCTTTTGGATCAGAATCCAACAACAGGGTACTGTAAAACGGACTTTGAAAGTGGAGCTTACACTTGGTTTGGTGTTTTTTCCTGTTTTTGGTGAGATGTGTTACAGTGGTGGCACATAACTATCTTGGATCGAGACACAGTGCCGGGCAAACTCAGCACTGTTTTTTTCAATTAAAGGTTTGAATGGATGTTGGGGTTGGGGTTCAGCTCCCGATTCAGACACATACATTTATGTGCCTGCCATTGTAGGTGTCTCTGGGCGAGGTGAGCATGTCAGCTCGCATAGCAGTGGAGATCCATTCAGGTTCAGTGCAGCTGCATAATACAGGCAACTGAGAATGCCTGTGCGTGAGGTAGTGTGGGCTATTTGAGGTGCTGCACGGCTAGCAAATACGCTTTGGGATCTGCTGGAGACCTGTGCCCTTCTGAAGGCCAGGACAAGTATTTCAGGGCAGGGCTGGCCTAGTTAAGGTCAGTTTGCAGTCAGGCCAAGAGATGTTCTTTCTGGGGAAAGGAGATGATGTCTCAGTTAATTCTTTCCGGTATTTTTATCTCAACTTTGCCTGAGTTACAGCTTGAGCCAGACGCTCCTCGTCTAAGTACTGATACAGAGGTCAGTGTAGGGAGATCCTTGTGACGGCGTGTTGTTTCCATTTATATGCTCGCTCTTCAGAGGGCTCTTGTCAGCGGAGCTCTTGTTATCTTCCCCCTGTCATAACATTTAGATCCTTTAATGAAACAATATGGGATGCATTGTGGACCATTTGAGGGCTCTGCATTGGAAGACATCCTGGGAGAAAAGGAATGTTCTTCAAACCTCTTTTGGCTGTGTTTGGAGAGTGAAGAGTGGCTGGGGGAGAAGAAGGTAAAGCACATCCTCTGCCAGACAGCAGCTGGACACTAACCTCAGCCAAAGCTCCTGGGAAAAGTCCTCCTAAAGCACCACTGCAGTTGCTGCTCTGCCTTCCCAGGGAGGCTGCTCACAAGCTTCACCGAAGCAGAGACCTATGATTTAGGTGTTGCTCTTCTCCTGGGCAGGCTAAGAAATGGGTGTTGAGGAGAGACAGTCTGTACTGAGTGATGGAATTTTTTGAGTGAGGTTAGCCTTTTTTTTTCAGTGAAGTTGCCAGACTTGCTTTCCAGAAGCAGAGAGTGTTGTGTTCCAGTTAAGTAAAATATCTTGTATTAAAATGGCTTTCACCAAGGACCAAGAATTCGCAGACCAGTTTTCTTAAAAGTCAGACTCTGCTTCTGTTCTACATCGCCTGTCACACCTCATTCGAAAGAGCTCACTGAGGCCAACAGGAAGCCTACATAGGGCTTGATCATTTGTTTATGTTTCGTTGACAGAATAACTGTTGTTTAGAGGAGTGGCAGTAGTCAGTAAGTCTGCCTGCATTTCTCATGTTCTTTGAACTGTGAACTCTTGGAGAAAGATAATGGAGATGTGTTTCCCATCTGCATACAGTGTATTCTAGCTGACGTTGGGAAGTCGGTACAGTGCTGTCTTTGAGTCACCTGGATTTTGTCAGTCCTAAGTCAAAATGAGGTTCTGCCATATTTAGGAATAACTGGTAATCGTAAAGCCTGTGGACAGGGCCCAGTATAGAGTGTTAATGGTGCCTACTGACTTACGCTGTTTTCTCTAGGGAAAGCATGATACTTCCTGGTCGATCTCTTAGCCTGCAGCTGTGCTCTCTTCAATTGTCTATCTATCATTTTCCTTATGTTTTTTTGTCTCTAAAAGGTTGGCAGCGAAGTAGAAACCCTGAATTTGCAAGTTTGTGCTCTGTTTAAAGAGCTTCAGGAAGCCCATGAGAAGTTAAAAGAAGCAGAATTGATTCAGAAGAAGCTTCAAGAAAAGTAAGGTTCAGAAGAACACCAGTTCTGCCTTGACACCCAGTGTAGGTTTATTTGTGTGACGACTCCCACCTTGGGAAACTCACCAGCTCGACAAATACCAGCTTAAATATCTGGTCATAGAAATGCTGTAAAAGATTGCCCCTTCTTTGCAAAGAGAGATGAAAGTACAGAAATACAGAAATTGTCAGAAAATCTGAGCTGCCAACCTAGTTCTACAAATAGAACCTCAGTGCGTTGAATGTTAAGATCTGGGGTTAAACCCTTCCTGGCGTAAAGGCAAATCTTTCCTGTCTTCTGCTTCACGTAAACAAGCCCTGTTCTGTTCTAAGGGAAAGAAGCTAAGCGACCTAGTTACGTCCCTTTTCACATGAACTGTCTGCTTTTGAAGACCAGTTGTGTAGGTTATATAAAGTGGTTACAAGAGCCTCACTTTAGTTGCTCAGTTTTCTGTCAAATTCCAGTTCTTTCAGATTCATAATAGTAAGAAAGTGTTGGTTTCAGTAGCTCTGTTTTCTGACGGTTGCATAGATTCTTTTTTGTCTTTCCTTGTGCTTCAGCAAAATAAGTCTTCAAAGTGAGCCGCACAAAGGTTGTTTTTGTAATCTGCCTAGTGTGCCAAATCTGTCAGGAAAAGGAGAACAGGAGACATGAACCTTGTTTTCCCTGTTCTGTCAGGTGCCAGGTATTGGAAAGAAAAAGCTCAGCTGCTGCATCAGAACTGGAGGAGAAGCAGCAGCTAATACACACCATCAAGAAGCTGGAACTTCAGGTGGAGAGCATGCAGGCAGAAGTCAAGCTGGAACAAGCCAAGACGCAGGAAGAAAAGTGAGTATGACTTGGGTTTATATTTCAGGGAGATATTGTCAGTGTTCTAGTGAACCTAGACAAAGGGGAATCGAATCTGAAATGTGAGGTTTGTATTCTGCACTCTTAAAAACCACATTACGTTTGTAGTGTCTGAACTAGAAGCCTGCATTCACCTCAGCATCTGTGTCACTCTGACTCTGGAGTCTCCACATTATGCCCAAATTGTGTTCTTTTGTCTGATGAAGCCTTCACGTAGGAAATTCTGAGCTGTAAGCTCTGATCTATGTCTTCCATTTGTCACAAAGTGAAAGACAGAATAGGGTCAGGTATGATCCACAAGCAGAGGAAGCAGCAAAGTGACAACAGCTGTCCCATTGACTAGCAGGGGTAAAAGCATCCCCAGCTTGGAGTAGGGACCAGGCAGGTGCTGACAGCGATGGGAACGTGACGTTAATGAAGAAGTCTGCGGTCTCGACAATCCATTTGCAACTAAGAGAGTTTGTTATGCAATGAAGCTGAGGTAGAGAGACTCGCTGTTTGCTCTGGCTCCCTGCTTCCTTTCATGTGTGATCTGTGTAAGGCGCGTGAAAATGTCAGTCCGAGATGTGGAGAAAGGCTGTACTGCCTGAAGACCTGCCTTCAGCTGCTGGAGAAGCTGCTCATTCTCTTTGGAGTCTGTCTGGTTCTTCTCCTGATGAATTCTCCTGCACTTGAAGTCTCTTGAGTCAAGACTTGGATGTTTTCCTAAAAGAGGCGTTACATTTTGAACAGAATTTGGTGAGCTTGATATAAAAATATTGGGTGACGGATTCTTCAGTATGAAATGCAGACGATCAGTAAGGACACTTGTTTGGATCCAGTCCATCGGTAGAGCAGCACACAGCTCATTGGAAGAGACGTGTTGAGACATGGAGCGTGACACTTTTCTCATCAGAAATGCAGATTCATTTGCAAGGAGCTGGTGGTGGTTTTTTTCTAAATTCTAACAGATTATTTAGATTTCAGAGAACTTTGAAGTGTTTCAAACTTTCACTTCTTTTCTTGTCATAAACAGGGCAAGATTTATTAGCTTGCAGGATGCATACAGCAAACTCCTTCCTCAACTCACTGAGGCAATGAAAACAATCGACAAAATGAAACTCAAAGAGGTAAACTCATCACAAGACAAAATCATAATTAGCAGAAAGCGGGAGGGGATGGGAGACTGTATCTGGGAAAAATTTGGGCAGGAAACAACTGTCACCCCTTCCACATAATACAGCATACAACATAGCAGCATTGCTTGATAAACATAGATCCTGTGCTGTCAATTATAGAAAACTTTATCCACGTGTCAGTACTTCCATGGTGTTTTCTAGATAAGGTCTAATCTGCAGTGCAGTATGGAGTCCCGTCCATACAGATCAGTGACATGCCAAGGCATGTAGGTGTTCCTGCAGCATATTTTGTAAACGTGGGAAGGTAGACCTCTAAACATATTTGTAATCTTAAATAAAATTCCAGCCACAGTGAGGTCTTGTTCACAACTGAGGCTCCATGGAAGTGTCAGATTCTTCTCTATAATTTTGGAAGTGAGAAAACATGCTTTGCAGTGTCCGTTAGGGCACTGTCTTTCAATGTGATACAGTGTGGTTTGAAAGCTCAAAACTGATCTTTAAATTATCAATCACCTCTGCTGGCTTTGTCCACGTTCCTTTGATGACCAAAACTGGAAGCTTTTCCAAGGGCAGGAGGAGTAAGAAGCAAATGGTGTCGTATTCTTGAGTTCATCTTGTAATCATAGTTCTTATTCCTGGCAGCTGGACAGAGTGGATAAAGCTGTGGTGGAACAACTGAATGCAAAGGTGGAGTTGGCAGAACAAGCCCTTGCTGCAAAGCAGCTCCAGATAGATGAAATGAAGCAGATAATTGCTAAGCAAGAGGAGGACCTTGAAACCATGTCTGTGCTCCGTGCTCAGGTATAAGCTCTTCTTCGGGAATTGGCCGGTTTCCACACCCAGTATTCAGAAACCAGAAGGAGCTATTTAATGGCTCACTCTGGAATACAGAATTTAGAATATAGATTTGAAATATAAAACCATTCTATGAGTCTATGAATTTTTGTTTCCTCAATTCCAAAGCATAATTCCCTTACGCAGCCTGCCTTGCAGATCCCTGCAGAGCTGTTACCACTATATTCTAAGGTTCTGTAGGAGGAACTATGTGTGCTGGAGTCTGGCACTACAAACAAAAACTGGGAATGGATGTGTTTGTGCATTCAAAACCACTGTCTTAAGAATCACTGCATATGTTTTAGGGATGACTTTACTCAAACCAATGTGTTTGTAAACAGTGACTAAAGCGGGTCTGCCTCACATTTAAGGCACAGAACTGGCATCTTGGCCTGGTTCCACTGTCTGTGCGGTCAAGTTACCTCCTCACTGCTTGTCTATACCTCATTTCTGCCTCTCTATGCCAGAGGGCAATGGCCCTGTCCCAGATAAGACACCTGCAGTATCTTACACAGAATACACAAACTACTGAGTCTTCTTTACCTTGTAAGTAGCACAGGTCTTCGCTTTGCGGTGTAGAGGTGCTGTAGGAATGTTTTGAGTAGATGTCAGCTATGGTACAGATTTGCTGTTTTGGTATACAATGTATGACTATGGTTCAGCCTAAGTTGCAAATTCTCAGCATGATTTCATGTCTCTGGTCAGATGGAGGTTTACTGTTCTGATTTCCACGCTGAGAGGGCAGCAAGAGAGAAGATCCATGAGGAGAAGGAGCAGTTGGCTGTCCAGCTGGCATACCTGCTCAAAGAGCAGCAAAACCTTGAAGATCTTGGCCGGTGAGAACAGATTTTGGCTGAGCTGCCTTTAGACTGTCTTCTTTCCCTGTGTGCTGGAGTTGAACACTGTCTTGCTAGCATCTCATCAGAAAGGCAGACAGCTCTGCAGACATTTATTTCTTGGTTAATGTGAATTTTAAAAGAGAAAAACAGATTAGTTGGCTGACTTCTCATTTTAATTCTGTGATAGAACTCTGTAAGACATGTTAGTTCTTCCTTGGGTGCCTTAGCAAGATTTCACTGTGGATGATTCATACTTGGTAAATTTTCCCTGCTGATTCATTTGAGTTTCTTTGAGTTCTGGCCTCCGTTTTAGTGGTGAATCTGCAGCTAAGCTTGCTACATGTGTGTCAGGGATGTCTGCTACTTCTCCAGGTGGCAGTGGTAAATGAGTACCCGTAGTTTCAAGTACTGTGATACCCTGGAATTGCACCATGTTGACACTCTTAGCTGTAAAAGAGAAAAAAAGAAATACGAACCACGTGTTCTCCACTCATCTGGTGGAACCCATGGGTACAAGAAGAGTGTCTAGAATTTGTAGAATCAAGTTATGTGTTACGCTGTGCACTGAACCCTTTTTCTGGTAAAACTTGCTTTTCTACTTTAATCAAATCTGTAGCTTGCCTTGACCAGCTGAATTCTTGGGGTTCACAGAGCAGTGTGCCCCAGATCCCTAGGTGTGTAGCTGCCCAAATCCTGCTGCTGTCACTTGTTTGACCCTGATTTAAACAGGACCCTAGCACCACCTCACAAAGCAACAGCGTTTGTAGGTCCTGTTTCTGAGCAGCAATTGTGAATTGAATGCATGACCAGTTAACATGATTTACTTGTAAATCCTTTCTTGTGAAACCTCTTACGTCTTCTGGAGACAAAGGGAAGATACCTTTTGCTCAGTCTTTAAGATCCCTTGACTTACTTTTTCATTCGCAGAAACTCTTTGGCGGAGATGCAGAATCGCCACGGAGCCAGGGCACCAGATCGAGAACGCTCACCTCGCCTTGTTCAAAGAGGTACCGTAAGCAGCCTCCCCAGCTTGCGAGGCCAGGCCTTCCTGTGTTCACTTAGAAACAGCCTTGGTTGGCAGCCAGCAGCCCCCTGGCTCCCCTCTGGCTAGTCTGGCAGCGGGGTAGCTGCAAAGAGAGTGATTCTCTGGCTGTTAGGAGCAAGCCGCAATCTTCTTTCAACCACTCCAGAAAGAGTGGGGAAATCGGGTAATACAACAGGTAATCATTTATCTTCTCTTCTTGCAGGAACTGGGAGTCAAGACTGGCCAGAGCAGCGGAATATCTCAATGTATTCATGTCCCAAATGTGAAGAAATTCTACCTGATTTGGACACACTGCAGATTCACGTTATGGACTGCATTAATTGAGTGATGCCCTCCAATTCTTCACCTGGAATTTCACCTGCCAAACACTTTTATTTTTCCTGCTCCAATAATGCTCAACTCCTACATCCAGTGAAGGAGGTTTTCGGGGGTTTTCTCATTAATTCAATGCAAGAAAGGTAAAACTCCTACCCTGCCCTCTACTCACTAATCTTGTTTTAAAGTGCATTATGAAAAGAGTTTTTACAGGTTAACAACATGTTAAAGAACTCCCAGTGTCTCTGCTGCTCTGAAACCTTTATGAAACATTCCCCTGATGTGCTCTGCTCCTATGGCTGGCCTGCAGAACGGGGCTGAATCGCTGAAGTCAGAAGGGAGATGGGATATACGCTGATCAGTTGAAGTACTGTGAGCCTGTAAATACTTCGTCTCTCATGTACTCTATATCAGGAAATCAATACATTAAAAAAAGCTGTTTGAGAAGCTTTCAGCAAAATGGAGTAGTGCTATATTCACTGAGCTTTTGAAATGAACCCTGCTCTTTCTCCAGATGGCAGTTTTATTCCTGCCCTTGTGACCATACTAATCTGATGTTAAATTTTTGATGGCTTATGTAACTTCTATCTTTAGCCAGATGTGGGTAAGGTTTGAAACAGGATCATTTTGGTTTGATACATGGAGCTCCTGCTGTACCCAAGTCACTTGGTTTTATAGAATTGTTCGTTTTTAAGGTGTTGTGTTGATTCTTATTCACTATAATAAATTAATTTGAATCTGTACAGTACTGTGCTAGAAAGCGCTGAGATGGGTGTAACCTAATTTAAAAAGAAGAGTATAGTGGATTTGCACATCTCAAAATAAATCTATTACGAGTATAAAATTATCTATGCTTGTGAATTCTTTGGAGGCTGAAACAGGATTGCAGATAGCTATGGCTGAAAAGCTCATGTAGAAAGAATTGCAGTGTATTAGTTCTGTTCTTGCCCTCACTGGTGGTTTTATCTCAAAAAAAAAAGTTCTTGAGTTGCCATGACATAATGGAGGAAAATACACAACTCTTAACAAAACCTAAACCAGCATGAATGGCGGGAAGCAGCTCGAGCAAATTGCTGGGATCCATGCATATGAAAGTTCAACTTTTTAGTATCCCTTTATTACTTCTTGCCTCACCCTGATGCTTCAAAGTTCACATGATAATAAGCCTGAATGTTTCCTGGTGTGACATTCTGCACTGGTCTCAGGAGTGCATGTGTGAAGGAGTCCTCTGCTCACACTCCGTGACGTGGCTTACGAGCTGTCATCTGTCCGTAAGAAATATAAGACTGCTCTATGACCGACAGCAACTGGCCCGTGGCCTTTATTGCTGACTTATTTCATGGAGGGTTTCACTTCCAGACACAAAAGCTTCCAATTTAAGCTTAAGCTCTTAAGCTAACAGAAACATCCATTTTTGTCACTGCTTGTCCTCTCCACTGCGCTCATGGGGTCTGTGAGTAGATGCCAGCTCAGTGCCATGTCGGGTGAGGAGACAGGGCATATCCTTGCACCTACAAAAGACCGGTGGAGACCGGTAACGAGCGGCGT